GTATGACACTTTGAAATCATTATCAGAAATTAGATCATTTTTAGGATTTGCAAATACTTTCAGAAAATATATTCAAAATTATGCATCTATAGTAAAACCACTATCTGAAATTTTGAAACAAACCTCAAAGATGACCATAGAAAAAAAACAGGATCTAAAGAAAAATAAATTGATATTGACAGATAAACAACAAGAAGCTTTTCAATTAGTAAAATCACTTATAACATCTTCACCAATATTAGCATACTTTCAGCAGAATGCAGAGGAAACTATTGTTGAAACTGACAGTTCTTATAGCGGAATTGGAGCGTGTTTGTTACAAATACAAAATGGTCAGAAAAAAGTTATAGAATATGCAAGCCGTTCACTAAAGGACACAGAGACAAGGTATCATATTAATGAACTCGAAGTAACAGCAGTGCACTGGGCTATCACACAAAAATTCAGAATATATTTACTAGGCACTAAGTTCACACTTGTCACAGACAGCTATACTACAGCATATGTCATAAATAAATCAAAAATGAACAGAAAATTCGCAAGATATGTAGTAGACCTAGCACCATTTGACTTCACACCAGTGCACAGACCGGGTAAACAAAATTGTATTGCAGATCATTTGTCAAGATATCCTTTAGAAGAACTATGTATGATGATAATATCAAGTAATGAAGAAAAATTAAAACAAGCTCAAAGTAAAGACAATTTCATTAAAGTTATATGTACAAAATTAAGTCAAAAGCCAACAACAAATCACTTAAAACAAATAAGACAAACATACAAGTTAGAAAATGGTATTTTATTACATGTCGACAATCAAGAGCTTTTCAACAAGGAGAAAGTTGTAATACCACAAAGTTTAAGATCTTCAATATTAAAATTAGCACACGATGAAAGTGGACATTTGGACATGAAATCAACCTTATCACGGATTAAACAAAAGTATTGGTGGAAATCCATGCACAAAGATGTTAAAAATTACACAAAAGCCTGTCTAATATGTGCAAGTACAAATAGAAGAACAAAATTTGCATATGGATTAATGGGAAACAGACCGATACCAAACACACCATTTGAGGTTATATCAGCTGATCATATAGTTGCATTACCACAGACCACTTCAGGAAACTTATACATGTTGGTACATATAGATCATGCGACTAGATATATAATGGCTAAACCTACAAGTTCTTTATCAACAACAGATATTATAGATACCATAGAAAAGGATATTATATATGTATATGGTCCACCTTTGACATACATTTCAGACAAAGCACCATGCTTTATGAGTCAAGTAATGCAAAAGTTTTTCACAAAATATGGAATACAACATCTACCGACAACACCATATACTGCTCAGAGCAATGGTTTGATAGAAAGGGCAAATGCTACCATCATTGCAATTTTAACTAAAGTGGCATTAGAAAACAGTACAGAGTGGGATAAGTTATTACCAAATACATTGTTAGCCATCAACACATCAAGACAAAAGACCACAAGTTATTCACCATTCTACTTGTTACATGGATATCACCCCAGAATTCCACCAAATGAAATTCATATTGGAACCATTCAGGAAAACATGGACCGGACACACCAGTTAGATTTATTAGAAAAGGCGAGACAAGAGGCTATCATTAGAATACAGGATCAACATAGCAAAAGTAAAGTAAAATATGACCAAAAGAAATTACAACATAATTTTGAAGAAGGAGAATATGTTTTATATGCATGGCCCCAACCACAAGACCATAAGTTGACACCAAAATACAAGGGACCATACAAAATTATTAATAAGATAGGATCAGTTTGTTATGAAATTCAGAATACAAAGAAACCAACACAGAAGAAAGTAGTACATGTTCAATATTTAAAACCTTTATCCCCACCTCCAGTCCTAGATTCTTTTTCAGCTTTTTCAGCAATACACAATGATGACCAATATAATGATGACAACAGCAATAATGACAACTCCCTTGGTATACAAATGAAGGAGGAAGATCAGCTCACGGATATGACACACACACCAGAATATTATGAGGGTACCAGCCAACCAGTACACAAAAGGCAGTATGTTACTAGGAGAGGACGCATCACCGAGAAACCATTCAAGTATGGTATATAACCGGATTTGACTGTATAGATATATGTATTTCTTTTATATTTCATGATAGTATACAATCTATGTACCGAAGAGTCTTAGATATCATTATTTTTCTTCTTTGCAATCAAAGTTTATTCAGTAACATAACATAATTAATAGCAAATTTTTTTTTTTAACAGTATCTTAATGTTTTCAAACTAAATAGTAATAAGTAATAACTCAGCATAAAGAATGTAAAAAAAAAAGTAGGTAAGTAAATTGAAGTTAAATATACTTGTAGTAAATTGAAGTTTAATATAATTATAATAAGTAAGTTAAATATACTTGTAACTTAATATTTTTATTACAAAATTAAAAAAAAAAGAGCATAAAAATATAACAATAAAAACAAAA